AGGCTGCTGACAGAGGGGGATAGGGAGAGGGAGTGAGAGGGGGAGGAAGAGAGGGAAAAAGGAAGGACAGGTACCTTAATGGCATGGCTGCAATAGTTAGACGGCGTAAAAAAGGCAGATTTGTCATCAGCTTTAATTTATTTACATTTTTCTAGCTCTCAAGGAGCCTTTGTTTTGATTACACTGAGAAAAATTAGCAAGCAATTAGTGCATCAATATCATATTGATAGTTGTATTCAGAACGAGAATTTCCAGCTTTACTAAAATTCAAAATGTTGAGAAGAAAAATAAAACTGTTTCTTCCATTTTTTCCATTACCGAATGTTTGTGCCTGGAGCCCCAGGTCTAACTGCTTCTCTGGATTTGGGCACCGTCTACATCTCACTTCGTATATCGAATCTGATATGAATATGAAAATGATTCTATTTGGTTCATGCTTTTTTATCTGATTCCGATTCTAAACTATTTTTATTGCTTCGTTTGGGAAGCCTGACATTTGTCATTTATTTCTTGAAATTGAATTGCTTCTTGAATTTGTTGTTGAAATTCATAGCTGGCAGCTGCTTCTGTTGCTCTGCCATCTGATTAAAAAATCGCCGCTTCCAGTTCTCAATACGAAACATCGAAACAGACATCAATAGTTGTTTTTTTTTTTTGCGGTGTACTCGGCGTATTCGACTGCTCGAGAGGCTGTTCTCGATAAGGTCTACATAATATCAAATGCACACAAACAATGATAATGCGCAACGTGTCGTCGTGTTGCCAGCCCCAAAAACGCTTATCATGATTAGAAATGAACGCCGCCTTGCCACTTGCCACTTGCCACTTGCCAGTTGCCACATTGGTAGGAAAAACCAGAAAAGCCTGGCCACCAACTTGGGCTGGCTGGCTGGCAAGTTCAACAGCTAACGAGGCAGGAATGCAAAGAGTGTTAATGCAACAACCAGCTCTCCGCCCTGCCACCGCTCTGCCGCTCCAACCCTCACACTGTGCAGCAGGTAAGTGCCTCGTCGAGTGGCATGCAGGCAATTTAAATGCAAAGGCTGCGAAGGCTGCGCCTCGCCAAAGTGAAGCTGTCAATGAAAATTACGCGCGGTTTTTTCTGCTGCTACCCGGCTGCTGCTGCTACCCGGCTATCAGTAATAAATTTATAGGCTGCATGTTGTGCGTGTGTATGCGCTAAATGTTTAATTAATTAGCGAGAAATGCATTAAGTGATTTGTTGCCGCTTAATATGCGGCTGCCAACTGCGTGCCCCTCGGCTCCAAACAATGCCCCAAAATCTAACAATGAAGTGTCTGAGCGCGGCGCATGTCATTCAGCTGTCAACTTAGCCAACAAAAAACAGGCACAGATCTGCATAATGCCAAAATACGCACCAAATGAGAGTGTGCGAATGTGTGTGTGTGAGTGTGTGCGAGCTGTGTGTATCAATATGTATCCATATCCAATTGGCTAACGTGGGCGCAGACATGTTGTGGCTAAACAAAATGTATCATGAGTTGGCAGAATGGCAGGAATTCTGTGAGCTTCAGTTAGTGATGGACACGTGACACGAGATAGCACAACCTGGCACGATACATTCGTGTGAAGATCAGAGATTAAAGATCATGAACCTTAGGAGAGAGCATATCAGATATATAGATATATATTTACCCTATATATACTTTATATATTTCACATTTCAAAGGAATGATGTTGCGTTTTACGTTTTCTGCCGACACGCGCCCATCCCCAAATCTAAAAAACGATTTCAATTTCTTTTGGGCCAAGCTGGTATCTGGCAATCGGACATGCCCCAAGTGATTTGCGTTTGGACACTTTGACAGCTGCTTAAGCGCTTAAGAAATGCCTCAGCGCGTGTAAGGGCAACTGGGCTGGCTTATGGCCATTATCGCGGCTCAAAATCACGCTTTAACAGAATACACAATTAATATGCGACGCAATTGTTGGCAATAAGCAAAACTGTATGCGGGCCAAAAATCCTACCCTGCCAGCCCTCGACGCGCAGTAATTAGCATGGCGAGCATGCGCGAAAGAAGGAGACAGCGAGGGAAAAGAGTTAAACCTTAATGTTAAGAAGAGAAAAACATTACTTTAATGGCCTGCCTTATTTTTATATTTTTTATTTATTTTTTTTTCACAGGGACAAAATCATATTTTATCGTTTTGCATAAATAAATCACAGAGGCGGCGGCTCACTTGTTGTTCGTCTCTCGCACTTGACTGGCGCCGTCTGCCGCAGTCTGGCTCAGGCTCCACCTCTGCAAATGGCACTTGGCAACTGGGCAAGTTGGCCAATTGTCTGCCTGGCAGAGGCCGTGCCAGTTGCATGCACTCACAAGATTTGTTGCGTTTTGTTTTTGTAATTAAGTTGCATCCACACAGTGCTGCAACAACAGCAGCATCAGCCAAGTCACACAAATGCCTCGGTAACGCCCCAAAGTCATTTGTCAGGCGCTTTTGGCTCAAATGGCAAATGTGCCAGTGGAACTTGGCAGAGTTGTTGTCGCTGCTGCCCAAGTGCCCTTAATGGCTTTCTTAATTAAAAACAAAATCAATATAAATGTCGTTCTCGCATATTGAGGCGTTTGCATTGACAAATGCGACACGGTTTCCAACAATTGTTTATTTAAAGGGAATTGGAAAGATATTCGCAATCGATTTTTGCCTTTTGTATGACAAAATCAGCTGTAATAAATATCTGTTGAATTCTATATCTAATTCCGAGCCTTTCGCTGATTAAGTAAGTCATTAAAACAACTAATTAAAGAGGTTGCTGGTTCTAATCTTTTGCAGGCCTTGCTAGCAACGATGTTAGCAAGTTAAGTTCAATACTCTTTTTTTATATACTAAAAATTCTATGCTTTCATGTCTGCCTTGTCCGTCATTAATGTCTGTCTTTATGAACTTAACATGTTTGATGGCATTCTATGCATTTAAGAGGATATTTGCTAATCGAGTAATCTTATTTATACTTCTCGTACTTAACTTTCTCATTAGGCAAATGTGTAAGCACTGCACATTGGCTTCCAGCTAATAATGTTTTGAGAGAGACATTAGGCTTGTCATTAGAACAGAAAAAAAAGAGGCAGCAGCTAGCTGCAATTGTCGTAAAAAGTCAGGCTTGAGTAGTCTCTAGAGCCCTGCTTTAGCAGCTGCTGCGGCTAGTTTATGTAGCGAGAGCAACTGTAGTCAGGTAAAGCTCAGGATTTATGCAACTGTCGATGGTAGTTAAGATTGAATTGAATGCTCAGACACGAGCTGAGCACACAGCTTCATTGCGCAGCGACTGCTGTAATTTCAGGTAAAACCTGCAGCCATTAAGTACGAAGACGACGTTGGCGATGGCCGTGGCGATGGCGACTTACGAAGTTGCACAGATGCTGGAGTCCAGCTTAAATGATTGCCGGGCAATTTTTTAATAACTTCATTAAGCGTCGTGAAGAGTTGCAATTAAAATGTGCCGTATATCAGTGGGTGCATTAGGAGCTGTTGGCAAACGATTTGCCAAATCCAAGTCAAGAACTAGTGAGAGAGTCAGTTAGTGAGAGGCACAGACTGGCTGCGGGGCTAATTTGCCTGACTCGCGTGTGGCAAATGGCGGCTACTGAATTCCGAATATGAAATTCCTTTGCTGCTGGTTTCTTTGATTTTGTTCAGTTTTTGTTTTGTTTTTAGCTGCTGGCAGTTGGCTGTCAGGCAGCATCAAAACGGCGTCTGTTATTATTATTAATTATGCTTTCGAGGTGCGTTCTAGGTGCTCTGGGCTGGGGGCCTTTCCTGTTGTCAGCCCATTTGAAATGCATTGATTTGAGCGCTGCTGCCTTCTGTGTCGCCTTCTGTGTGCAGCATAATTCAAAAACAACAGCAGCTAATTGAGTTGTGTTTTTGCCTCTGTTCCTTTTTTTTTTGTTTTTTGCAACATTCCATTTGGCTAGGCTTAGCTCTGGGCAAGTTCGTTGCCTAAGTCTTTTGTTTTGCGAGTGCATAGTAAATCATAAAAATGAGCGCTGAGTCTCTGCACAATATATGCAATATTTTAGCGCTCGATTGCAGCCAAAAAGGCAATGTCATGACACTGCAGAACAATTGCAGCGCATTCGGGCCCCCACTCTAATGGCTGAATGTGTGCGCTTCCTTCAGCTCAAAGGCAAGCCTTTGAGACCAGACGGACAGACAGCCAGACAGACAAGAAGCCAGCCAGCGCCCATATTTCATAAGCTGCGTGCTGCACAAACACAATAACTTAGGGCCACAATATTTGCATGGCATTATGCACAATCATGACATGAGCCGCAGCAGCAACAACAACAACAACAGCAGCAGCAGCGAGCAACTGCTGCTCATGTTTATGTAAAGCGAGCCGCGCCAGACAAAGGCACTGGTAAATCACACTTTGGCAGTCGCTGTCGCTGTTGCTGTTGCTGTTGCTGCCGGCATATGCGGCGTATGCGTAACCCGAGCATGAGATGCCGTTGCCGTTGTCGTTGTCGCTGTCGCTGTCGCTCAGTTGTTGCTGCCGCTGAGTGAGTGATGCGCATGCACAGCAACAGCAGCGCTCAATAAACAAGCGAAACCGGCCGGCCGGCCAGTCAGCCAAGCAAACAGCGCCCAAGAGCTAACAGCTAACAGTCAAGCGTTTCGCATCGGTTTCAATTTCAGCAGCAACAGCAACAACACACAGAACAAGTTGTTGTTGCTGTTGCTGTTGTGCGTTGCTGTTGCGTGCAGTTTTGCGGTTTTGCTGCAGAGAGGGAACACGCAATGTGTGTTCATTGACTTCTGGTGCTGCCAACTTGCGCAACAAGTTGTTGCTGTCGCTGCTGCTGCCGGGTAATCAATCATTATTTGCGCAGGGCACCACCAGCAGCCACCAGCAACCACCGCCAACAGCAGCAGCAGCAACCACTTGAAAATGTATGCATTTAAATTGTCAGCGATATTGCAACTGACAAATGATCAGCAGGAGTGCAAGGGGGGGGGAAAAGGTTACTCACTCATTTGACTCCTGCTGTGTGGATGCGCCTGCTGCTCCTGCTCCGGCAGCTCCTGCTGCCGTGTCCATTTCAGCCATGCCGACAACCACTTCCGGCGGCTGTGCGTTGCTGCAGTTGGAGCTGTTGAGCTCATTGAAAGTGAAACTGATATCGTGCGGATCCTTAAACGGCTTCATGCTGCGCGGCAGGCTGCGCTGGCGCAGGCTCAAGTTCAGAAACTTTAGATCGCTGGCGGTAAGCGGCTGCAGTGCAGCAGAGGGTGCGGGTGCGGCTGTGGATCCAATTGTGGTGCGTGCGGGCGGCGGCGGTGCAGCACGCTGTTGTTTCTGCTTGGGCGGCAACGCTGGCTTGGGCTCCTCCTCGAGCAGCTCCTCCTCGGACTGCTCGATTATCTCCAGCACCTGAGCGGTGCAAGTGGTTCCAGTGTTTTCCAGCTCGGCTTGCGCCTCCAGGTGCATGCCATAGTACTTGGCTATGTGCTCGGTGGCATCCGCCGTGCTGTAGTGCTTGCCGCGAATCAAGTCGCCCAAATGATCCGCATCGATGCCAAACAAAAAGGGATCGTCCAGCACAGTTACCTTGGCATTGCGCTTGGTGGGCTCCTCTGGCGGCGACTGTTGAGGCAGCTGCTGCTGTTGCTGCTGCTGCTGCTGATCCTTGTGCCTGGCCTCGCCCTTGACATGAGCACGCAGCGAGCGCAGCAGCTTTTTGCTGCGACGTGGCGTTGTTCCCGACGTTTCGCATTTGGCGGGAAACAACGGACGGCTGCTGCTTGTTGCTGCTGCTGCCGCATTATTGCTGGTTGCTGTGCACTTTCTGCCGGTGGTTGGATGCTGCTGCTGGTTGCTATCGCCCAGATCGATGCCATCGTCCGCATCTTCGCTGGCATCTAATTGCACTGCGATAAAATCGCAATCGCCAGTGCCAAAGCCAACCGTATCGTAGTCATCGCCCGTTCCCGTCAATTGGCAGTTATTGTTGTTGTTACTGCTGCTGCTGGCATTGTCATTTTCATGATTAGCCTCGTTGGCGCTGCCGCCACTGGCCGCCAGCCGCTGGGCAGCCGCCTTGCTATAGAGCTGTCGATAATATTTCTGCTGGTCGCCATACAAGAAGCAGACGCGCCACCATTGTTTGCATGCCAGCAAATTGGCGGTACGTGGCACCACCGCCGGCTCCAGGCTGCCCGTTGTTGCCGCTGCTGTTGCTGTTGCTGTTGCTGCAGTTGTTGCTGCTGCTGCTGCTGACAGGCTGCTCATGTTGCTGTTGCTGCTTATTATTATTGTTCTGGGCTTGTAATTATTTTTAGTGGTTCAGTGGCTCTTTTTATGCTCGCTGCTTGTTAGCATTGACATTTTTTTTCGGGTTTCGTTTAATAAATTTTCATGTTGTGTTTTTGTTGCACTGGAATTTATGTATTAACATTTTTCGTTTTATTTTATTAGTTTTTTTTATGGCTTTCTTTTTCGTTATTTAAATTTATTGTCTACATTGTCAGGCGCTACACTAATTGGTTGGGGAGGCTGGCCGCACAATTTATTGATTGAGTTTGGCCACTTTCACAGCTGAAAAGGAAAATGAATGCAACGTTGATCGATCGGCCGGCGGCTGCATCTAGTATTCAAGACTTTCCCATTCAAAAGGCTCATTTCGTATGCAGCGCAGAACAAAGAACTTGCCACAGCAGCAGCAGTAACAACAACAAAGATTCTAACACTTGAAAGTGCCTGCGATAGCATCTCGGCTGCAGAAGAACAACAACACGAAGCTGTTGCCACAGTTGCAACAGACTCACGGAAGCATTGGATCGATTGAAGCTGTTGCCGCAGTTGAAGCTAATCAAATTTGCGGACATTGCCGCCGTTTACACATCGAATAATGATGGCGGCTGTTGCTGCTTCTGCTGCTGCTCAGCAAATAGCGAAGCGTACACATTTACCACTAGACGGGGCCGCGGGCTGGGGGCCGATTAGTCACGCCTCTAATAAAGATAGCTGCTGCTGCTGCTGAAGAACTCCAAGCTAAGTGCAGCCAAGGCAGTCAGTCTGCCGTGCGCTGATGCCCTTGTCAGATAATAATAACTTCATCTTCATCATCATCAGCATCAGCGGCAACTGCAACTGCAACTGTAGCCCATAAGTTGCACTGGCGGCCACTTTGAGTGGTGGCCAAAGCCTTGGCAGCAATTGCAGCTTAGCAACTGTCAGCCATGTGCGTGTGTGTGTGTGTGTGTGCGTGCATTAAGCCGCTTTACACTCTGTGCTCTTAGCCTCACTCTTTCACTCCCCATTTCTGTCTCTCTCGCACTCGGTGAGCCATGAGCGTAGCAGGCGTTGTCCAAGCGCCTAATGGATCCAGCTTATATTATTGGCATTATCTGGAAGTTATGAATGCAGCAGCCACAGCAGCAGCCGCAAGCTGCTGCTGCTTCAAAGTGTGTGTAAGCTGCATGTGAATGTGATATAAAATAGGTTTGACACACAGCTGTCCATCAATATTGTGGCTAAACACAATAGAAATGTGTTTGCTGCCTGACAAGTGCATCAGAAAATTCTCGAAATTCCATAACTTAGTCAAAAGTGAATCGATTTTTATTATTTTATAGTTATTCAAAGCTGCCTGCACTGTGACCTACGGAGTTGATTATTCCTTCACTCTGTCTTTGAGCTATGCGAATTGTCCCTGGTCTAAGGGCCTTCTGGTATACTGGTATATATACCCTCAGGGTATATATTCTAGATTTATTTGGCATCTAAATTTAAGCCATTAACTAATTATTATATAGTTTAAGTAAACAAATTTCATGTACTCCTGCCTAATTAATTTATGGCACACTTTAGATTCTCCCAATTATTTAAACAATTGTATAAAATTATATTTCAAATTTAATTCTTAAGCCAAAACTAACTAGGCCTAAATTGCATTGCATTTTGAAGTATTCGAGTTTTCGGACTAGTTTGTTTAATTAATTATTTAATTAATTGTTTTCGAATTTTGCCAAAGTACAGCTAAATGCTCTTTCTAAGCCTTTCGCAACTCCAATTTCAATTTGAACTAGTCAACTGCATGTGACTTAATTGCACTGAAATGCACTCAGAACTAACACACAAAAACATACACACATACTATATGTATCTGTGCCTGCCTGGCATACGTGCACATAATTGAATTATAAAGAACAACTAGTGGAGCAAATGCAATCATAACTGGACGCCGCCTACATAAACAAACTAGAAACTGGCATTTGGCTTCCGGTAAAAGAACAGAAATGAAGATGATTTCCAGCCAAACAACTGCCGCTTGCCACAACAATGTTTCGCTGCAACCAAACAGCCAAAGAAAACCGCAGCACGCGATGTGAATGTGGGCAGTGCAGAAGTGATCCGCAGTTAGAAGCCCCAGTCCCAGTCAAAGTCTCAACTGGAGCTGGAGCTGCGGGTGTGATTAGCTTTGGCAAGCGACCGGTGCAGCAAACCCGTTCAAGGCAAAGAAATGCCGCACTTGGCCATCTTTCACATGTGCCACTAAAGCTTAGAGTCAGCTCCAACTCTCAACTTGGTTCAATTGCATGTGATTAAAACGCGATCACACAATAATCATAAAATGCAACTGCTTTGAGGGAGCTCGGCAACGAAACCGAAACACTGATACGCTTTAAACAGTTATTAGTTGTGTGAATGGAAACTCTAAAAAAAAGGAATTCCTAAGAAATATTTCTGGAATTTAAATCTCAATTTAAGCGAGATAGCGGGAGAGAGATCAAAGATCTGGGTTAATTGAAATAGGCGTGAATATTTTAATTTATTTGCAGGTCTTTCATTACAGCTACCTTCAACAGATCCTTGTAAAACTCTTCGCAGACTCGGCATTATCTCCTCTAAATTAATTAATATCCCAAGCCCACTTTTACTGCTGGCCCGTAAAGATTTCCCCTGGAAATAGCAGCATTGAAATAATTTCCGCTATAGACAATATCTATTTAAGAGCAGGCCCCATTTGGGAAAATGTGAAACAGCGCCTGCAGCTAAAACAATAATTAAATAAAATAATAGAAAATATAGGTTATCCGGTATGAAAGTTGAATCTAATGTGTTACCAATTTAATGATACAGTTGGTATAACCTAACCTGGTCTAAACAACTAAATGGAGTCGAGTGTTGCAACAACAACAACAACAGCAACAACAACAACATGAGACAAACAAAAACCCAAGAGACTTAAGTATTTGCCGCACAAAGACTTCCGGCGAGGCCAAAGCCAACATGATGGGAAGCTGTGTGCGATCGCGAGACTTAAGAGAGCTCACTAGAGAGAGAGCAGGAGAGTGAGAGGCGGGGGTATTCTCTGTTGACTGCAATTACCGTTAGTATTTATTGATACACAAGCACGGACATGTGTAAGCGACGCGATCGGTGTCGCGATAGTCAGCGCATAATTTATCAATAAAATACGATAGTTTATTGAATATCGACTTGACCCAATGGCCGAGACAAGAGCAACAACAACAATAACAACAGCAAGCAGCTAATTGATTGGAATCGCAGCAGATGCTGCAGGCAACACTGCGATATGTAGTCAAAACGGGCATTTGCATTCTAACTGGCAGTTGCCTTTTTGACAGTCAGTCAGCCCTGTCTCGTCTGACACTAGCCTGGCTAAATTGGCAGCAACTGTTGCTGCCGTTGTTGCTGTTGTTGCTGTTGCTGCTGCTGTTATTGCTGGCGGCGCTGCCATCAATCAGCTAGCTGCAATTGCCTTGTCTAGTTTTATGCTGCCTTTTATTATGACTACTTTTATTATTATTTTTATTTTTCTACGATTTTATTGCAGTGCTACATTTGTCAAGTTGCCAACTTTTCAATGCTGCCGGCACTTTTTTGCCCCCCCCCCCCCCTCCCCCCCTCTCTCTCTCTTTCAGGGAAAATTGCGTGGAAAATGCAGACAGACAGACTGGCAGGCGGGCAATTAATTTGATTGTTATTTATGCATATTTGCTGCAATTGCAGCTGTTAATTTGCAGCAATGCGGGTTAAAAAGTCAATTGCTTTGTCTTGGTTTACTTTTGTGTGCAACGCTTATGCCACTGGCCAGGTCAGTTAGCCATTACGAACTGAGCCGGAAATTGTTGGCCAAAATTGAGAGTTCACTCAACTGGGCAACAGTAAGCCGGAAATCTGTGCTTCACTTTATCTAGGACATCTTGGAGTACCTGCAGCATTTGGCCCACGCCTGTGCACGACTTTGAACTAATAAACGCCCTTTTGTTGTTGCCGTTGTCTAGGACGCCCACATGCCATGGCTAGATGGCTACACGGCCACAAAGATACACAGAAGCCGCTCTACAGAAACCAAAAGAATCCGAAAAGCTAACCGCAAACTGAAATTCTTGGTAAGCAGCATGTGAAAGCCGACTCAAGTATATTTGGTTTTTCTGTTTTTTTTTTTGAAATTGTGTTATCAAAAATCTCAGACAATGCCCACAAGCCTTCGAGTTAAGTCATCGCATAGAAAGCCGCTGCAGACAACTCATTTAGCTGCGACCTCTGCGGATGAGAACTGTAAATTGTAAATGCTAAAGATCATAATTTTCAACGTGTGGATCAAAGTCAGCGGCAGCTAGATGACACATATTCGATATTAGCATACGAATGAGGAGCGTACAAAGCGAGCTATGTAGCTTTAATAACAGGCGCTACAATATACGATTTACCAGTTATAACTGTAAGCTTAGCAACAAGTTGATGCTCTTCTTCTTGTTGTTGTTGTTGCACGTCAAGTGCCACAGCAGCAGCAGCGGCGGGGACGGCGGCAGCGGATGATGATGACCGCGCCCGCTAATGGATTAACTTGTTTGTATATTTTATGTGGCAGCCTCAACTATAATTTAGATACACTCTCTCGTCTAAGGCTGTGGAAATTCTAATAACACAGTTTAGCCGCAGATTTGAGTCCAAGTGAAAAATAAAACCAAAATGCTTTTAAGCAGCACAGAAAACTAGTTTTAGCCTAAAAGTCTTAGCCCATTCTAGGCGCTCTAATGAGCCATTGTCTAGCTGCTGCTGTCTCATATTTCATTGAGCCCGATAAATATCTAACGCCTTGGCTAATGGCTGCTGGGCTCCGGGTCGATCATTAAGCTGTTGCCGGAGTGCAAAATGTGCCTGTTTTCTTGGTTTTTTGTTGTTGTTTTTTTTGTGTTGGCAAATTGATTGGCTTTTAAATGAATTTGCTGTCATACGATGGAAATTTAATTGCATTGAACTGCGAGCAGGTAATGCAAATGCCAAAAATAAAATAAAAA